TGGGTTCATGCACTCCACATCTGAATGGCTTGAATACAACTGTACACATGAAGGTAGTGTTTACCTCGAAGACTTAAAACAGCCTTCCAACTACAAGAAAATCCTGTGTCACCTATGAAGTTAAATATTAATGTAGGACATGGCCAGTATTAAATTTGGGTAAGTAGAGATTGCATTACTTGGTGCGTGTGTGACGCTGTCAATCTCAGTCACGGTATGGTATTGGAATGAACCGAGTGTACTCGATTGATTGCCGCTGTGTTATGTGTATGTATGCGTGGTACGTATTTGAAGTGAACAAGTTTATTTAAATTACATATGTAGATGTACCTACAAATATACGGCGTATATACTAAGTGGCGACTAACGTTATACTTTCAGATAATTGAACACGCAGCGTACACAAGACAGTGGGTTAACATATGATTGTCGTTTGGTAACAGAGGTGATCAAACCCATTTAAATTACATAGGTAGATACTCCTATACAGGTATAATGCATGGAAATATATGTAGAATACACAAGGCACCGAGTGTCGCAGCCCAGTGATTCTAATAATGGTATTCATGCATAAATATTGTGTATCTTAGGGGGTCTATATGGTGTTATGTTATGATATATTGTGATATTGAACAGCATTAGCATCCGCTGTATGCTTACCGTGCGTGTATGGGTCTCGTGATGTTTTGATCACCTGAGTGTCACAAAGGAAGTAGTAAAAAGTAAGAATGACCTAAATTCACATCTCGGTAATGCGCACAGTTTTGAATAATTTAATGTTAAGTATTAAATATTAGGAAGCCTACTCATATTGTCCGTACTATGTATTTAGACATGACTTACGCATGGCAGTATATACCGAATTGTGGATTTGAGTCAGGTTTAACTAATTAAATAATTATAATTATCATTAAGAAAAATAGTAAAATAACATTAGTGAATAATTACAAATAATATCTAGTCAAAATTAGTGATAATAAAAGTAATATAGTTGGTGGTATTTGAACATTCGTCACCAAGATACGACGTAAATATGCACCCACTGGCACTTGACAGGCGTAGTCGGTGTGTGAGACGAAAACGTTAGAATGAACTCATTATTTCATTGTTTTATCAAAGAAAACTCAAATATGTGCTACCAGGACAGCCTTTTTAATTTCATAAATGTCATAGCCCAATGTATTCATCAACATACAGTATCAATCATCAATATGAAAAACTACATATTCTTGTCAACATTTCATTTTTAATATCCGCGCGTATTCAATGCACGCACGCTAACCTTTCACCCTAATTTGAGATACGTTCCTGGAATCTGTTTTCACCAAAATTAAAACTGATGTGGACTTATCGCGCCGTTGCCATAGTATCACAGAGGAGGTTCTATCGGGCAGATCAGTTTTTCTCAATTTCCCTGTGCTAGATTGCATATCGATTACAAGAAACTCGCCGTCTACACGCAGGTGTCATTCTCGTCTAAGAAAAATGCATTAAGCGTCTTCATTGGGTATATGAGTCACTGCGAGCTCACACATCGGAATACTGAGGATTAATTACAGAACGAAGGTTTGTCTTGTATTAGGAGTATGGAAGGTTTTGGACTGCAAAATGGGTAAGAATCCGACCTCATCATTAATGTATGAATACGGTGAACATTTCAACAATCTTAAGGGCGGGTGCGTCGAATAACGGCGAACAGACTATAAAACCCTGATTTTTAAGGCCACAAATGTCGACGGTTTCGAGCTGTATAATTATGCAGCAAGGTCCGGTTCATCGCGATTTACATTGAAACGTGCCATGTATCTTCTTGTCAGCTTTGTTTGAATATTTTAGATTATGTAAGGGTTCACAGATAATGGCGTGGACCTGACCTGTGAGATTACTCATTTTCATCTTTTTCTAGGCTGTGCAAATATTTATTTCTGACCTCCATGACTAGAACATCACGAGACGTTAGTTGCTGTATATTCGTTTGTACTATCAGACAAGCTAGAAACAGAGGGCATGAAAATTCAAATTTCATAATCCATAATTATTTTAATTTAAGTCTCGTATTGTGATAATGAAAGTAATTTCATTGTAAGCATGCCAGTGTGAGGGCGCTTTTGAAGTTACGTTCATGTTTTGGAGACGGTATATTTATATAATTGATGATAAAAGAATCACTAATTTGATGATCTACGAAAATATTTAGATGCCTAATACAAAATATAAATAAACAAATTTATATTCAATTATCATATAAATAAATTTATTCATTTTATCCAGTGTAAGCCGCATGTCTCTAAATCGTGGTCACAGTGGTATAATTTAGTAAAGGAAACTCATCTTAACCACGGTTACTAGTAGTAACTGTTCCCCTCAGTCAACTATGGAGGATTGTACTAGTAGTTAATATCCCTGTAATGGCCAGTCCAAAATAGATTATGAATGCCGGGTATCATTATATTCGTTATAGTATTTCCAGTACAAAATGTAATTGCGTATATAATATATAAGCCTGTATATGTATTGTCATATGTTGTTTTGATCACCTGTATAATGAAGTATTATGACGCGCATAAGGGGAGGGTGCTGAAAATCAGACATGACCCAGATTAATCGGGACAATTTTTTTAGATTAAATTATTTGTGTTATTATCAAAAGCGCCGTTGAAACTTGATATGCATGTTTAGGGTATATAAGTGCTTTGCAGAATATAAAATGACACCTTTCCATACTTTAACCCCTCCCCGAGAAAACGCTGACTTTTTTTAGTGACCGCTTTTTAATACAACACTCTGACCTCATTGAAGGCGTGGCACTACAATTGGATCACATGGCGGTGACACACAATCTCCATCCGCAAAGTCAATACAAGCGATATTGATTATATACAACGTAAATCATAATAATGGACAATTATTAAAACCCCTATATCGTAGAACTTACGAGATAGCTGTCCCTTGTATGCTGCATTTATTTAGACTAGGCTATTATAAGAACTAATTAGGTCAAGAATGAACTCTTGAGAACAATTCATGTGCGAGTTCTCGTGATAAGTTGTTTTCGTTATGTGCGATGTGTGAAGTAATGACTACCACAAAATAGTATGATATGATCCGAATACGAAAACTTTTGAAAATTACGTGACTCAGGCAATATTAATTCTAAACAAAATGGATAATAATTGGCGGTAATTCCAAATGATAAATATTATTTGGGCTCGCCTAGAGTATATTCTAATTACACCATGTCAGTATATGCCAATATGTTATGATGGGCCAATAAAGGTTTTCGGGTACATTAATTATATAATTGTTTGTACTACGGTGTATAATACTGTAAAAGTAAATATTCAATGGGCTTATATTTTGATGTTTTGAGCATTGATTTACTCTGTATTTTTTACTGGTTCTGACCAATTATCTCCATACCGAGTAACCAAGTAGGTTGTAATTAGTCGCAATTGTTGTAATCGGCATACTAAGTGAAATTAAACCCTAACGAATAATACAACACTTTTGCAGTAATAGTATGGTAAAACCACCTGTTGAATTTCTCGTCGTAATGTTTCATGGAATACTAGTATGTCACGCATGTTTAATGAAAAATGAGAAGATCACGTTTAGTAATTAAAATAAGTTCTAATTATTATTTTAATTGTTAATCTAGGAAAGAGTATGGTTATAACTTACCATCACCTCGGTCTAAAGAATATCAGACGTTTTCTTCCGCGAGTCTGTATGTGTTTTTGTATTATACCAATATGGAGTCTAGATCTATAATTATAAATTGTCTGAGTACTTGTGGTGTTATATAGCAAAATGTATTTATTTTCACGTGGCGTTGTTGGTCTTGACATCAGTATTGTAGTTATGACAACCATCCCCCGGACATCGTGGAATTGTTATCATAATCAGGTGTTATTATTTAAATGACACTCGAACATACGTATATATTTCCCAGTATATTTTCTTTTCCGGATATTTTCTAACATTAGGATCGTCGCAGACAATTGAAAATAGTTACATTGTGTAACAAAAATATTGTTTTTGTTTACTAGGTGTTGTAGCAACGGGTACGGGTTTTCAGTCACGTAAACAAATAAGTGTTAGCAGTGGAATGTGTTCAACACGTATGCACGACGAGATTTCATTGTTGTCCCCACTAAGTTGACAATACTGTTGTCACAAACCATGTTTTTACTTCCACTGTCCTCGGCAAATATGACACTGTCTTGACTCTCCCCTCTTCGGAATGGTTCGTTCCAAATAGGCGTTTACTTTTTAGTCGTTGTAGTTCTAGCCACGGTGTTCGTTGGGTTATATGCATTTATTTTGGCGCATGTTATAGAGACTCCTATTGAAACTTGATTAGTAGTTATGGATTTATGTTTGTAATTGCCATTTCGTAGCCCAAATACAAACAGGTTACAGGAACAATTTATTTTCGTTTCGAACCGAACGTTGAAAGTGTGGCATTATACTCAGCCAAGGAGTCTTTCATATTTGCATGTCAAATGTTGTCGCTTTCTACGCATCCAAACAGCAACGGTTCGTTGCGATAAACTGCGATTAACGGGCTTACATGCACCTAATTTACCTAAATGTGGAAAATAGTGTGACCCAATTTCAAAACTGGATTCCGACAAGCCTGATCGGTGGTTCTACTTAGTGAGAGGCGACACTCACTCAGACTTATCTCAAATCTCCCGTCCACCCTCGGTGGCTTTCCCCAACAGGACTTCGTCTGTCGCACCATATCCACTCGATGTAGAAACACCTGAAAACTCAGGAAGTCGGGAACACTTGGTCGAGAGCCGGGCAAGCAGCAGAGATACAGCCACAAGTACAAAACACGTTACGATGTCTGAGGGAGGAGGCCTCGATTACATGGAACTTGGAGGGGTAGTCAAAAACACATCGTTCGATGAAACTCACGACGAAGAACCAGGGCCCGGGACCGGGGAGCTAAGAAGAGCAGACAGTGCTGAAATATTGCATGTCTCTTTACACCAGGTAAGAATTTCGTTTTATAACCTTTTCCGTAAATATTTTGAATGTTGCAGTTTGTGTTGTAATGTAGAGTCTTGCTATCGTTCGCAGTGAAGGAAAGGGAAAGGTAAAACGTCAACGACTACCCGATCGTTATTTACGATGCGCCATTTTCTCTTTTACCTGTATGAAACCCATGTATATACCATTTAGCGACACTACATCATCATGTCATTGACCTAAAAGTACATGTCGTTTTCATGATCACGTCGTTGTTACTAAGTTTATATGTTTACCAAGTCATAACATTGTAGGGTTAACGTTTAATACAGTGTCCTCCAACATATACGGAATTTCTTGTCTTTACTGGGGGACATTGCTGGGCAAACCATTAAAAGTAGTCCAAATTACAATAACAAAAGTAGTAAATTCCACACTTGTCAGGATGTTGCGGCCACACCTTAATAGTAGACTTGAGATAAATCAACGTCGTAATGATAAATGTTTGGTTTCTTAGCATTATTGTAAAAATTAAGTTTTTTTGCGAAATTTTAAGTTACTGTGACTATTTGGGTTAAAGATGGCAAATGAAATGCTCAATGCTGTCATCACATATACTTAAAACACATTTCTCAGAGATACATGTACTGTAAAATATGTTTGCTAAAATGAATGAGTGAAAAAAAATCCTGCAAATATACCTTTATGTTTTACTTGTCAAAAATCAGTGAAAATAAATTCCATACAAAACACACAAAAAGTCTTTTCAGCCAAAATTAATTCCAACTAAAATAAAGTTTTTTACAGTATTTGATAAAAAGGAGACTACAAATAAACAAATCACTTTTATTTAAGGATAAACATGTAAACACATATTTGTTATATTGTTGTTTACTTATTTCTCTGTTTATTGTCTGTCACTTTGCAATTACCCCATTTGACACTTCTGTCCATATTATGTTACATAAATCTATGGGATGTGATTTCGCTATTTGAAATTTATCATTTTGGCTTCACTTTGCAAAGTTATGTACTGCACTGGAAATATTAGGTGAATGACAAACTTAGTTTAACCATGGAGCTAAAAAATGGTTTAACTGCCACATTTTTTTGTTTACCAAGTGATTATAAAATCTAGTTAACCTCAAATAGAACAATTATAGAGTTTTAAAGAGGCTTGAAATAAGATTCTATTTCCTGTAATCAATGTAATAATAATTGGATTAATTACAGATAATCTTTGATATTTGATATGGTAGTTATTGCAATGTAAACTTTTGAAGACTGAAAAATGTTGATTACTCAGTCAAGTTTATTTGATTGACATAGAAAATATGAGGTTACCAAAATAAACCACAAAGTTCTGCATAAAAAACAGTCGGTGATCGTATTGACCGACCTGCAGCGGAGGTCGATGCAACTTTGTACTGCCTCTTAATGATTTATCGTTGGCCCTCTGGTGGTCAGACAAATGAAATAGGCTTGTCACTGTCAGTAGATTCAAGATAAATGCGTTGACTTGTCAGATTTCAAAACAAAATAAACAATATGTCTAGTTAGTTATTAAATATTAATGTAAATAAAATGTCAATCCATTTGTGTATACATGAATCATACTATTCTGATGACCAAAATTTTATGACTGACCTTCAACAGATACAATGTAGTGTAGTGTGACATTAAGACTCAGCTTTAGAAACGTTTAGAATTTTGTTTCTTATGTGATGAATCAACTGAACAAACTATAAGCTCTGTCAACAACCTTACTAAAACACTAGCAGACAATATATAGTGTAAGTCAATACTTCATGTGTATCAGGGTGGTTACAGCAGGTAAAAGGAAATACTCCAGTGGCTTTCATTAAATTCTATAATCACAAACATTCTCAAATTGTTAAATCGTGAAAATTTAACAATTTACAGAAACAGTATCATCACATCATGTATGTATGTAAATAATAGATGGATTATACTGTTATATTAAGTTAATCCTCTAATGGATCAGTGGGATTAGTGTTCAATCAAATTAGCCATTAAGTATTAAATATTTATGCTGGTCTAAATAATCCAATGTTCTATGAAATGTTTATGAAGAAATTGTGTACACCACTTGTTTGTTTTCTGGCAACATACATTAAGGTTGTTGACTACCATTAAAAAATATCACCAGATTTAATTTATTTTTATTTATTCTGTCGATATTCACCAAACCCATTTAAAAATATACAGTCATTGGATTACTTTTCTCACAAAACATTCGTTAAAAATCAATGTAAAGGATGATATTCGGGCCATTGGTTTCTGTAGTACAAAAGGTCTTGTCATATGTCCATGCATTCACCCTTGCCTGTATTTTGGACATTCCGATAATGTTCAAACTTCACACTTACATCCTAAAATACCATCAATTCATCAAAATCAAACATTTCTGTTATTTCAAAACTGAATCTCAGTCATGTATTGAATTTTGTTTTCCCTCAATGGATTTGAAACAACCAACCAACCAACCAGCAGCTATTTTGTTTTAGTCAATGTTCTTCGAGAGATTGACATATGAACTTGAATGAAAACAGTCGGGGGCTGGTCAGGACTTTTTATACACATATTTCACTCATATCCATATGATATATGTCTCACTGATACAGTCACCAAAAAGTTGTATCTAAGAGTGCAGTTTAATGTAGCTTGCCTTCTTTCAGGATGAACTCAATAACATTTGGAATACAAAATGAAAGTAAAATAAAATTATGTTGATAATGCTATAATAATTATAATGCTGTCACTGAGAGCATTTCTACATTCAATATTTTCTTCTATCAGTAGTGCAGTGCTAATGTAAAAAGTTAATCAAATAAACAGAGTAAATAATCACTACGCAATAGCTTTGTTAAACTGATTTTAATAGTAAAAACCAATTCTGGCATTGAGCAAAATATTGTTTATGTTTCTTATTTGAAAATATGTGTGTTTGCAGGGATTGAAATAGAATTTTTTCCCTGCATGCACAGTGTGCATGTTGAATTTGAAATTTACCTGCACTAACTTGTTGTGAAATGCACCACTTTTAAAGTTTAAATACAATTTATGGTTTATCGATTGATGTGATCATGAAAGAATTTGCTTTTTTAGCTCCGCTGTCGACTTTGTCGAGCGGAGCTTATCATATGAGTGATTGTCCGTCGTCGTTCGTGTCAATGTTTTACTTTTTCAACTTCTTCTTGAAAACTACAAGCCTGAATGCTTTTGATACTTGGTGTATAT